CCTCAGCAGAACAAGAGCTTTCTCAAAGCTGACTTCCCCAGCCAGAGAGCCTTCCAAGAACTTAATTCCCCTCAGAGTCAAGTTTCAAAATCCCTAGTGGAGCCAAAACTGTCAATCCCCAGCGGAGCTAAAACTTCCAACTATCAATCCCCAAGCAGAGCGAAGACTCTCATTCTCAGTTCCTCACAGAATATTCGAATATTCCTCAGTGAAGATCTCCTCAAGACAGGAATCCCCCGGTAGATTGGCATACAACCCAAGCTTATGATTCCCCAACAGCGGTCCCAGGACTTCTCATTTTCAGCAATCAAAAGATTCTTTCCCTCCCCAGCAGCAACCAAGGATTTATTTTCCCCGGCAGAAGTCAAGATTCTTTTGTCTCCAGCCATCCAGGATTCATCTATCCTCAGCAAGACAGCTCATCAGCTTACATGCGCATTCATCACATTCATATCATAAACATTGATATAACATACATTGCATCATGCATCATGACATTGCATACAACTAAATCTTTACCTTTTCAGGAAAGATCAGCCAACAGACAAAGATCATCATCATCAGGAAACCCTACACCGGTTCCTCCTCCACTTTAAGACTTCTGAAAACAGTTCACGGGTTCTCCAGTAACGGATGTTAACCTATCGCTTGTTCAGATTCTTCTCAACTTTTGAAAACAGTTTACGAACGCTTCCCAACATGGATGATGCTCTATTTCTTATTCAACTCTCAAGACTTTTGAAAACAGTTCACGGGTTCTCCAGTAACGGATGTCAACCTATCGCTTATTCATACTCTTCTCAACTTTTGAAAACAGTTTACGGATTCTCCAAACATGGATGTCAATCTATTGCTTGTTCAGACCTCCAGTTCAGAGATGTTCCAAAACATGGATACCTTTCTGATACTCGTCCACTCGCCAATGACATACAGTTCAACAATCACCTTCAGATGGCATCTATAAGCCCATCCTCCTCCAAACATTTCCAGATGGCATCTCTAAGCCCATCCTCCTACCAGTAACTTCCAAATGGCATCTTTAAGCCCATTTCCAAATGGCATCTCTAAGCCCATCCCCCGACAAGATTTTGTCACATCCCTAGATGGCATCTTTAAGCCCATCACCAAATGGCATCTGTAAGCCCATTCCCTCTACCATCACATCACCGAGTACAAATTTTTGGGCACTCTAGTGTCCAATCTCTTTTTACCCTCGAGTCGCGAAAGGCAAACTTGCCAATCTAACTCTTCAGGTTCAAGAAGATTGAACAGGGGCAACTGTTGTACCCCAAAATTTGCCCTCCCGTATTCTCCAAGATTTGTCAAGGATCAGTCAAACAGAATTTTTCTTGTCAGTCTAGCCAAGTTAGGGTTTTCATGGCTCTGGAACAGTTCAAACTGATTATTAGGGTTTGATTGGTTTTGGCTCAGGTTTTGATCAGGCGAATGCTTCTTTGGCATTTAATCAAGAATCAGGGTTTTCGTGCGCGCATTCTCAGAAAGGATTAATTCTACATTTCTTCTCAATTTACTCTGAGATATGGACTGAGGCTGTTGATTGAGAATTTGCAGTGTTTGGATTTAATCAGTGAAAAAAGGACATGTGGATGTTTGTTTGATTTGACTGTGCATTGTTACGTTTAATTCGGAACGCCGGACGTTTATTAATTATTTCTTTTTTCTAAGTCAGAATAATTGGATTTACTTCCAATTGTTTTAATTTAAGAAATTCAAATAATTAAGATAAACAATTGAAAAGAAATAAAAGGAATTAACTGATCAAAAAAGGATTTTTTATTCATCTTTAATGGTTTGTTACAATTTATTATTTGAACAATTGTAAATTTATTTACATCCTTGTTTATAATAATAATGTTACAAATGATTGAAATGAAATAAACTATGTCCTAAATTTCCTAAGTCTTCATCTTCTATCCAATGCTCCTTGGCTCAATTATCTTTACCTGCAAAAACAAAGAAAAGAAAAAGTCAAATGCAGATAAAATAATTAAGAGCAGACAGATAAAAATTAGATTCATCATTAAAAGCAACTGGCCGGAATCAGTTTGCCCTCTCTGCAAATCACGAGATTTCTCCCGGTTCACAAAGAGGGATAGAAATGCTTGCAAAAAGTATGAAATGCACAAAGTTGTAATATTGCACAATTTCAAAATGGTCAAACAAACTGCATAGTTCATGGTTCAAGTTTGTCAAAAGCTGCATAATTCCAAAAGTTCTAAACCAAGGATAAAAGGCAAGCTGAACTAGGCCAACGAAGTCCAAACTGAGTTCCCATTTCAAACAATTGAAAATCAAGGCAAGTGATCTAAACAAGTAACTAAGAGCCCATGGATAACCATGGATGAAAAGGGTGTTAATACCTTCCCTTTTCATAATCTACCCTCCGAACCCACGAAACATCTCAAAAGGTTTTTCCTGTGCTTTTTAACCTTTCTTTTAGGATAAAATAAAAAGTCGGTGGCGACTCTTGCTAAACCGAACAAGTGCGAATACAAACACAAAACCTCAAGTCAGTTCTTCCACCGTATCACAACATTTATTTTTCTTAAACCTGAGAATGAATGAAATTCTTTTATGTCTGTTAAGCAAGTGAATGAGTCAGTGTAGGGTGGCGCTAAGATGTTTATGTTGATGACGAATTTGAGTATTATTGAAAACATAGAAGTTGGTGATATACCGATAGTTCATAATTTTCTAAAGGTATTTCCTGAAGAGATAAATGATTTAGCGTCAGAGCTTGAAGTAGATTTTATGATTGACTTAGTTCCAAGTGCTAGTACGGTATTGATGGCTCCATATAAGATATCAGCATCGGAATTGAAAGAGTTGAAGGAAATTACTTGAGTTCTAAAAGGATAATCATGTGAAATTATTGTGTTCCGAAAAATGATAACAATAGATTGGCACCACATGTATGAGTATTGAATTTGAGTTTCATTGATTCGCATGGTGTTGTTATCATAATATGAAATTATGTGCACTATATGAAATTGTTGTGTTTTTGCAAAATTGTGAATTGTGATTGGATATACTTGGGAACGGTATGAGAATTTGGGTGATATTTATAAAGCATTAAAGTGTGAGAATATCTATATGTATGCAAGCATGTTAAACATCATGTATTATTATACGATTTCAGTAACTATGTGAATTCTCACCCTTCTGTTAGAATGATGTTTTATATGACATCACTCAGATACCAAAGATTAGAGTTACTTTGGTAAGAGTGAAGCTGAAGAAGCTATCTTTATTCTATTTCAATATTTTGGGATCTTGAGTCATGCTTTGGTTTTGTAACACTGGAGAATGATTAAATTCTTGTTTTTGAGATATACTTTGTATACTCTATTTATTTTGTTATGATATTTAAGTTATGTGGTGAATTGGCGATTATGCCTAAGTTATTTCAATAAAAGAATTGGTTATGAGACTTAAATATTATGTTTATTGAATGGAGATTATTCTGCTGCTACATGCTTATGTGAAAGTGATATGAAAAACATGGATTTAATTTAGTGTTATTGAGCATGATAAGTGTTTCTATGTGTTGAAATATGTGTCACACCCTTGCTTTTTAAGATTCATGTTATATTTACTTTGATTTATGACATAATATATTGAAAGGTTTTAAAAGGTGTTATAGGATCCATGAAAATCGTCATTGATATTTTTCTGATTAATCATTATTTGATCAATGCATAATGTTACAATCTTGTGCTTCTTAATGTTAGGGTGGCGCTTCGATATTTTAAGTTCAAATACAATATTTATTACTTATTATTTATTCATTTTTTAACTCTTCTCCTCGATTTTGATGCCCCTGATTTTTTGAAGCCCTGGACCGTGGGTTTGGTTGCCTTAGTCCAAAGTCGGCCCTGGAATTGTTAAAACTTATAGTTTGTTATTGATTAATTGGGTTGAACTCTTACTTTCTTGTGTTTGTTGTGCATGATATTTTTTATAAACAAATAATATTGAAAGGAGTACAGGGGTTACCTCAACCCTTTAAAACTCTTAATATTAAAGGGAATCTTCAGCTCTTCTTTGCTTTAAATGATTGATTCAAAACCGTAATAGTGAGTCTAAATCGTTAATCCCTCCTTCCTTCATGATTTAAATCCATATGCATTTTTCATGACATCTAATGTCGTAGTGTGAGGGATTAAGTTTCTCTCCATTTATTTTAACCTTTCTAAACCATAGTCAACTGAAACTACATATTAGCGTAACTTGACAATTCTATCATTTATAATATATCTAATATTTTGCGATTAGTAATTGATCACACCATCAAGGACACAGAACAACCATGACACCTATGCTTTTCTCCCCTTTAAGAAGCCAGTTCAAAACCATAAAAACTAGCCATAATCCTTCCTTCCTCCTGCATGAATCGAAATCCGTCTGCATTATTCATGATATATAGTACCTTTATTTTAGGTTTGAAGCCTCCCTCCATCACTTAGAACTTTGCTATGCCTTTCTTCACTTTAAATGATTAAATCAGGACCATAACAGTGAATCAGAAACCTTTCACACTCAACATGAATCGTAGATCTGTTTTCTTTATTCATGATGTATAGTGCCGTTATACACTGGTTGGAACCTACCTCTATCAATTAATTCTTAAAAAATATAACAATAATTAAGTTAATTTGATAGGATTATGGAGGTAATTTTAATCAATTTAAATTAAGTTAGAATATTATTTAATAAGTTTTATTTAAAGTATTATTGAATTGGGCTCTCTTTGTATTTTGGGCTTTTAATTTATTATCCATAGTAAGAATTATATATGTAGTGTCTTTGACACATTTGAGGATCAATCAAGAAATCAAATGAAAAATTATTTTATTCCTTTTATTTTATTTAGTCAATTTAACGTTCTTCCCATTTTAGTATAGAAAACCCTAGTTCATAGTTTTTGGTAGGAATCTTCCTATCAATTGGTGCTTTCATCAATCTATTCAAATCCTCCTATGGATTATCCTTTTCATACACCTTCATATCATAGTAGAGCATTCCTCCTATCTATCATACAAATCCCTCTTTTTCAACTCCTACCACACCTTCATTTCTATCTTTTCCATAGAAATTTTTTATACCTTGTTACACTCATGATGCAAGTATCTCATCCTTATTTTAAGAAAAGATCCAAAACAACCTCTCAAACACCGATTCGATCCATAACCCTTCTGTCCACTTTCTGGAACCTCTCATCCTTTTCTTCCAACCCTTTATCATCTCCCAAACCCACTTCAAACCTACCTCAAAAACCCCACAAACAGAACCACACATCTCCATCACCCTCTTCCACATTCACCCGCAACAGAGCCCAGAGACTTTTACACTGGCGCCGCTCTGATAAAATCTGTCCCGATCTCATCCAGAGTAAGGTTGAACCACATCCCGTTCCAGTTCCAGTTCCAACACAAGAGGAACTTTATCGTGTTCCCGTTCATTTTGCTAGAAACAATGCATCGCAAGAATTTTTCGAATCAGAGGATAAATCTCTCGTTCAGGATGATTATCAGGAATATTGTGAATCGGATTTGGAAGATAAAGATCTTGTTAAGGATCTTTGCAAGAAATCTAAACTTTACGAAGGTCTTCTCAAACCTAATTCCGCCAAAGAGGATATTGCCGAAGTCGTTCCGAAGAGCTTCAACCATATCAAGTCGATGATGTCAAAGAAATCGAGCGCCTCAAGGGACTTGCAGTGAATTCTGATAAAACTCCGGGAGATTTCACCGAAGATGGTAATTTAGGTTTTAATTCTGATTCTTTGTTTGATTTAGATTTTGATAGTTTAGTGAAGAGTAAAAAAGTTCAGGAGCTGTCTGAATTAGGGAGTGGCAAGTTTGCAGCAATCTATGCTTGTGTCAAAGAGCAAGGCCTTGACATAGTATAGCTCAATGAATCAGATTGTAGGAATGGGACTGTTGTAAAGCAGCATTTTGGAGATTCCAATTCTCATTATTCAGTTGAAAATTTTGTTCATGATGATATTGATTTTGCGATTCCACCGAAATCACCTGATCAGATTATTACTGGGTTTTTGTGTTGCATAGAAAATGAATTCCAAAAATTTGATGAAGCTGATCATTTACTAGACATTGGAATTCTAATTCTCATTATTCAGTTGAAAATCCCAGTTCATAATTTTTAGTAGAAATCTTCCTATCATAATGTAAAATTAATTTATTCAAAACAAAATTAAATGTTTGTTACCTAAAATATGAGTGATAAATACGAATTAAGTCTTATTTATTTTTATGAAATATTTATTAATTTTTTAATAGTAGGTTTGAATACAGGCAAACTAAAAATATTCCGTCTGAAGTGTTTGTGTAATAGATGTTCCATTTAAAAATAATCTAAAGGTTATTTGATTTTTTTTTTTGTTTTGAAATTTGTCTTAAAATCAGTTTAAAAATGAGAATTTTTTAATATGTGGTAGATGTGACAAGGTTTGGAATGTCATATGAAGAGAGAAATGGAAGAAAAAAATATTGAATAAGTATACAGAATATTATTGTTTTTCTTATACAATAATACGAGTGTAAAAGGATTGAAGTGATTAAGCATTATTATTAAAATTATGTTGTTTGTGTATGTGGATTGTGGAATATGAGTTGTAAAAAGGTTACACCATTTACTATTGTTTTGATCAATACACCATGTCTAACCTTCTATTGTTTTTGGATATGTTTATGAAATGATGTCATGTATTTCCATCGAGGCTATCTCCATCTTAGTGAAGCACATTTTTCTTGATTATGTTTATGGCTTATACAATGTTTTTCGTTACTAAAAGGTTTTATATGCATGCATGAAGCAATTTGTGTTAGTCTCATCTTATGTTAACATATGCTTGTTCTTCAATTAATGGACGAATTTTCTTGGACAAATCAGCAGAATGGAAACATAAATTTAGAAGGAGGCAAAGTACGTACACTAACCACGATGAAATTTGATATATTAGACATGATAACACATTCACCACTTTCACTCGAAATCAAACACATCTTCCCTTATACAAAGTGATATATAGATAACTCTTTCGTAGAACACCCAACATTATTTATTACACATAGTACGTCCATGCAGGATGATATTATCAGTTACCATTGTTGGAACTACCACCATTGTAACCTCCTCCACCGCCATGGTTGTATCCTCCTCCCCCACCATTGTAACCACCACCGTGGTTGTATCCTCCACCACCGTTGTAACCACCACCTCCATGGTTGTATCCTCCTCCACCACCATTGTAACCACCACCTCCATGGTTGTAGCCTCCTCCACCACCGTTGTAACCACCACCTCCATGGTTGTAGCCTCCTCCACCACCGTTGTAGCCACCACCTCCATGGTTGTATCCTCCTCCACCACCGTTGTAACCACCACCACCGTGGTTGTAGCCTCCTCCACCACCGTTGTAGCCACCACCTCCATGGTTGTAGCCTCCTCCACCACCATTGTAACCGCCGCCTCCACCGTAATATTTGGCATCATTTAATTCATCTGGTTTTTCAACAACTTCTGCATATACAATATTGTGTGAATTTAAATAATCTCTACTTTTAATAAGTTTTAGTGAAACAGCATATATATGTACTCATATTATGGACACTTAAATAAAATAACATAATTTACCATCTTTTGTATTAGTGGAAGTCTCGGTTAAGTCCCTGCTAGCTGAGACTTGTGAGGAAATAAGAAGAACCATGACCAATAGACCAAGGATGAGGAATGCGTTTTTGGTATCCATTGTACTCAACTCAAGCTCAATTTGAAATGTGATATTTGTTAGTGAAGGATGAAAATAATAGTAAGAAAGTGTGATCTATTTATAATGGAAGGAAGTAAGAATCAATACGGAACCATTAATAGGAAGTTGGGATGGAGATAATATCTATTAATTCAATCTTGTCTACTTGTAATTAGCTGAAAGTGACACTTTTTAAATCATAGTACTTCTAGTCAACACTAGATATCTTGTGCCTCGTGAGCTGCATTCCAAATATTATCCAAACATTTATAATATTGTTCATACACAAAAAATGAAAACACTCTTTGTAGTTTCTGAATTTTAAGTGTGTCCAAGTTTCAAAGACATTCGCAAAATGTGTATCTTATTAGACTTTTTAGTTCTCAACTATATTTTCATTACACATATTTTACTTTAAAATTATGTAGAAAATACACATAAAATATTTACAATTTATATGCATTCAAATGTTATGTAGACTATAACTGCTCATAACAATAGTTAAAAAAATAATAATGGTTCAAAATAATCAATACTTAAAAAAAAACTTTTTTATGAATCGGAGTATTGATTCTAAATTTTAAATTGTTTTAACTACTACTAATTAATATTAATTAATTGAAAGTAATTGATGGTCTATATTTTAATTGTTACAAAATTACTTTTTATTGAAGGTGTTCATCTATGGAGCGAAGTTGAAGATATTCTCTGATGTATAAATGTCAAATGAGGTATGAACAATTTTTGTTGATGTCGGTCTGCTTCCATTGATGGATTGATTCTTTACCATGTTTGACGCTTCGTGGTTGTTCTGGGGGTTACACTGAGGATGGTCTTAGAGGAGTTCGGAGATAATAGGGGTGTTCACTTTCGTCTCTCTTGACTCTGGGATATGTATCAAACACTAGTGCAACACTCTATGTATCAGGAGACTACTAGAATATACATGTTGCATCTTGTAAGATGTATTATCTTAGCATATATGTCTCATATATACATCATTGCCATATACATGTCTCTGTTTTCTGACTTTCAGCATTTGGATTGAGCATTGGGGTGTGGTGCTTTGACTATACCATTTACTGCCCTTGAAATGGAAAGGTGATTGTCTTTGAGACGAGACAACTTGTAGGTTATATGACTTTATATCAGGTATGAATATTTATTATGTTTATTTATATTGTTCTTATGTATCAAAGACATTTGACATATGTAATTTCTTCTTTTGAAGCATTGGATATACGAGCATTTTCTGTCCATTTATCATTACTACAAAAAACACTTTTTATCTTGGACGCGAAGAGGGTTTTACTTCGGCTACACAAGCGAAGCAATGAAGAGCGTCATGAAAACTCTGCACTTTACCCCTCAGTTTTTGGTAAATCGAGGGAATCCTATAAATGGTCATTGATTCGACTCTCAACTACATCATTTTTATATTTTCAAAATGAGATCACATACCTCTCAGTTTTTAGAGGGGAAAACATTTTTTTAATAGAAATTACATTGTTTACACGAAATCACTACAACAAATAACGTTTTTCATGATGAAGCTTTCACCCCTACCAAAGAAAAATCGAGGTAAAATGCCAAGGCACGCCATGTTTTATTATTTTTAAAAATAAAAAACCATAAAATCTCTTGATTTTTAAAATAATCGAGGGAAAAGACAAGACAGAACATGCTTCGATTCCCATCTATTGTAGTTTATATTTTTATTTATTTATAAGTGTAAACTAAATGATCTAACCCTTCGATTTTCGATATAACTGAGGGATAAAATAATCAGATTTTACAATAAAAGCACTCGTTAAATAAATTTTACTCTAATCCTTACTTATATGAAGTCGCCCCAAACTCACATGCATCATTCTTTGGGATGGATTGCAAGACCAAAAAAATCTTCAATGTTCTTCTATCTAGAACAAAACATTTTTTCTACCCTTGCAATTTATCTCATATAATGATGTTGATGTTGTTGTTGTATTTTTGGAATAAACTTCATATGATAGATTGCAGGTGCAGAAAAATATTTTTCAATATTTAGAACAAATAATTTATTAGAAGATAAATGCATTCAAACTATTGAGCTTAAAAAGTATGCACACAAGGGTATGCAACTAAATATGGATTACAACAAAGATTTGTTATTCTCCAAGAATAACAACAACTATAATGACACTGCATTTGTTGGAATAATGTATTTTAATATTCTTGCTTCAACTTACACAAAGAAGAGAGCTCAAACTTTAGATGATGGATATCAGCGAAGATATTCATTCAAAAGAGAAAAGATTTGTTGTAAACCATTTATTTTAATACTTTGCGTAAACAATGTAATTGTCAAAAAGATTTTACCCTAATTCTAACTAATATGTAGCCGCAATAGATAGAGAAAATATTTACCATTGTCCATTGTCATGAAAGATTTTGATCTCTGAAGACTATGAGATCTCTGAGGACTCCGAAGACTATGAGGTCTCTATGGATTCCACAAAAGATTTTTTGTAAATGATTTATTCCCAATAATTCCTTATAACAAAGATTTGTTATTCTCCGAGAATCTGGATTTGTTGTAATATTGTGTTTTAAAATTCTTTGTAAACTATGTAAATTAAAAATTAATAATAATAAAAAATTTCACCTCGGGTTTTCTAAAAACCGAGGGGATATTTTAGCTTTAATTTCCAGGATATTTGTCACCGTCCTTAATCAAATTCTTGTTGTCCATTGTCATGACTATGAACGCTCAAGACAGTATCGTTAGTGATCCGCGTAAAATATAAATAACTTCTATTATAAAAGCAATGTGAATATCAAAAATTCATAATACAACATCATGAAACGCTTGAAACTATCCTCCACTTTAAGATTTGTGAGTCATGATCATAAAGAGTTCTCTAAGATGGATTGCAAGAGCAGAAAATTATTTGGGTTTAAAATATGTGTTCTTAAATGTTTATTTGAATATAAAGTTATTTATTTATCTAACTTTTTTTTATTTGTTTATATCATAAACAAATGCAAGGAAAAGCAATAGAAAATATATTGTTTCCAGCAATTGATCTTCCCATGGATATCAAAAATTTGAAGATCCAACATATGATCTTCGTGGACAACTTGACTTTTATTTTGATATTTCATGTAAACAATGTAACCCGTTTAAATTTAAAAAATACTAATAGTTTACCCCTTAATTTTATTGATAATTCGAGATACTTTAGACACCACAATTGTAAATAATAAAAATGCAGATAGTGGGGTTCAAACCCATGCACAATTAAAATATCCCTTGGTATTTTAAACACTGAGGTGTTAAGTCCATACTTTTTATGATGACCATAGTTACCCCGCTTCCGTAGCCGAGGTAAAATGCATTTCGCGTTCGGCATGACACAGGCTTTTTGTAGTAGTGAATATTAAATTACATTGTTTACACAAAATAGTTAAATTATCCTGAATATTCAATTTAAAGTGTCTTAAGTTACATTACTTTGGTTTCAATCTACAAGTACAAATTTTTGACAAATCTGATTCATCATCATCACTTTGAATAAATCTAAATGTTGTTGCACACCCATTGCTTTTCTAGTTCAATGGTTTTGAACACATCCAATTTCTAATATAACATAAAAAGGTTAGATACATAACATAAAATTTCAGTAAAAAGATAAGATATTACGTAAGAACACCACCTTGGTAGAAATTTTTTTTGTACTTGTAATTCACCTCAGAGATCTGTTCCAAGCTTTTATTATCAATATTTTCATTATGAATGTTTGAGTTTCACAAGATATATAGCTCCCAAGATATATAATGGTGGTGTTCGCGTTCTTATTGGATGTAGAGTGTTTCTTGTGGATTGATGTGTTGGTAATATCTTGAGCATTGTTACTTTATGAACGTAGGGCATTGATTCGTTGTTGGTTAACTAAATAACTATACCCATCGGTTCATTATAATACCGAGGGGGAAATTATTTCTTTTTTATTTAAAAAATAAAACAAAATAGGGATTTTTCCCTCGGTTTTATAAAAGAATCGAGGTAATATATTACTTACAAAAAATGGTGAATGGCAAAAAATTGAAAGTAACATATATTGTTTTATTTTTCAATTGTTTTTAGCATTCACCACTTTCTTTGTGTGCTGCAATATTCAAAAAATAATTTGTATTTTAAAATAACAATATTGCTTGCAATTTACGGTATGCTTAGGAATAAATTTTTCAATATTGTCAATAGAGGTAAGCAATAAATTATGGAATATTTTCTTTGATTGACAATATAGGAAGATTATTTCATAATATAAAAATGGTCTTGCAAAAGGTGAAAATAATAACAACAAAAACATTATTTTGTGAGATAGATTGAAAGTGCATAAAAAAAGTTTCGTTCAAGGTTAAAGCATAAACATTTATGAAAGATAATGATAAACATGATGACCCATAGTACAATAGCACAGTTAATCATATTTAAGATAAGATTTGAAATAAAACAAAATTTTTGTATTCAATGGCATAAAATGTTTGTCATAAGCACGAGATATGTAAGACACATGATCTGTTTATGTTTGCATCTTAACATACTTAAGGTGTGTCTAGCAAGGGTAATTATTCAAAACAAAGTTAAATTTGTAAGCATAAAAATATATTCTTGTATTTTTTTTTATATTTAAGTCTAACATTGGTAGTTTAGCGAAAAGAAAGAATAATCATTTGTTTTAATGTTTGTCAAAAAATGCAACACATAGATTTATTAGATGCGAGATAACCCTCATATATGTGGAGTGAGTGTAGTATAGGGAGAGTATCACATTTATCAATTTATACAAGTCAAGAGTAACTATGCAAAACAAGGTTATTATAGTAAAAAAAGAGTAATATAATCAAAGCACTTAGATCACATGTAAAATGAACAAGTTACCTAATAAAGATGGACAATAGGAGTCCACATAAAGTATAAAATCTAAAACTTATTTATCCCCATGTAAGGCAATATT